TAAAAGTTGGCTAATGATGATGAAGATATTTAGGCTTTTACCTGGTTCATACCAGCACAAAGTTAGGAAGCAAAAGATGGATGAATTAGGAGAGAACCAGACACGTGCTGACCTCTAGACTGCTAATGCTTGGTCTTATACATCTTGTTGCCCTAAAAACATGCCACGAATGAGTTTTGAGGTAAGACCACTGTAAGACTGGGTACAGAGGCTCTGATGAAGCAAAGGTAACAACACACTGAACTCTACGATCAACAAGTGGTAACAGAGCCTCCTCTATTCCACAGCCACCCTTGAATACGTCATTAGTCAACCCACTTTATTTGTAGCTGGAGCTTAGAAATATTAAAAAACCCATGGTTTCATCATCCAAGCACAACCCTGTTGCCACTCTGGCACATTCCCTTCCAGCCCCATAGTAACAATTCTGTGTTATTTCAAACTCTGTGTTCCTTTAAAAAATGGCTGCACAACATCCCAATATGTGATGCTTCACACAATTTACTTGATTGACCCTCTCGAGTTCTCACTTTTACAAAGAACAACTTGTGCATTTAACTTGCTTCTTTTTGTGAGCTTGTATTAGAACTGCTGCCTTAGGAAGTTATTCTGTAAGTGAAGTTGCTGAGTTAACTACTCAGAATGTGAGTCCCTTTATTCATTCAACTTTCATTGGGTATTTATGCAGTGCCTGGCACTGTGATCAGACTGAGAATAAAACGTGGTCTTGGTCCTTGTCCTCAAGGACTTCACAGGTGGGGGTGGGTGTGGGAAGTATGTTGCTAAATACCCTTTATATAGGGTGGTACCAATTTATGTTTTCTAATAAACAGTCCCCATTTTACCACATCAACACTATTAGGATTCCAATAAACAAGCCAAACAAAAACTGGGTTTACTATTAGGTAAAAAAATGAAATCTTGCTTGAATTTGAATTAATGTTTACTGGTTAGCTGTGCCTCCTCTTGTATGAATCACTTCATGGTCTTGCTCAGCTTCTACTGGGATATTGGTGTATTTCTCATGGATTTGCTATGTTTTCTTTATGGAGCAAAGATGTGAGCCCACCATTAGGATGCACTGCTGTGCTATTTCCTAGTTTCCCGTTTAGTCTATTTTTCCACACTTGAATGACTCTCACTAATTTGTACTTGGAGCTCTGCAAATTGGCCTATACTGAGAGATTTCATAAGAAATGACTCAGTGAAATCTATTGCTTCATCTGCTGAAAGGATGTTGAGGATAACACAGGTTACATTAGTTTCCTCTTTACAAGAGCCCACAAAAGAAATTTCTTTCTGGTATCAGTACCAGGAATAATTATGTGTCTCCTGAGTAGTGGGTTTATTTTTATGTTATGAACACAGTGAATCATGGAACTCATCGTGTCTTCCTTACCCTTCCTAGAAAGGGTAAAGTCAACTAACTACCGCTCACCACTAGCAAATGTAAAGCACTTTAAAAGCACTTCACCTTCTCTCTCTTCCTTTCTTTTTCCCCCATTTCATTTTTCTTATGCATTTATTTAAAAAAGTTAAACCAGGGGGCGACTGGGTGGCTCAGTCGGTTAAGTGTCTTGGGCTCAGGTCATGATCTCACAGTTCATGAGTTTGAGCCCCGCATTGGGCTCTGTGCTGACAGCTTAGAGCCTGGAGCCTGCTTCGGATTCTGTGTCTCCTTCTATCTCTGCCCCTCCCCCACTTGTGCTCTGTCTCTCAAAAATAAATAAATGTAAAAAAAAATTTTTTTTAAATTTAAACCAGTTATTAACATTATGAGGTATAAAAGTTTGAAAAAATTGGAAGGG